TCACATGATGTGTGTGTGTGTGTGTGTGTGTGTGTATATTTGTGTACAAGTGTGTATATTTGTGTGTTTATGTATGTATGCATGTGTGTGTGTCTCTGTGTGTGTGTGTGTGTGTGTTAGACTGACTCTCTGAATCAGAGCCTTCGTCCTCCTCGTCTTCCTCACTCTCCTCTCCATCGCTCTCTTCTTCTCTCTCAATCTTCTGACGCAAGCTGGTGAAAACCGACTGCAGAACGATAGAGTCCTCATAGATCTGACACACACACACACACACACACACACACACACACACACACACACACAGACACACAGACACACAGACACACAGACACACACACACACACACACACACACACACACACACACACACACACACACACATTTCATAGGTTTTGTGTTTTATTTAATACTCTACAGCAGAGGTGTGGACTCGAGTCATGTGACTTGGACTCGAGTCAGACTCGAGTCATGAATTTGATGACTTCAGACTCGACTTGACAAAATATGAAAAGACTTGCAACTCGACTTGGACTTGAACATAAATGACTCGGACTTTCACTTGGACTTGCGCCTATTGACTTGTAAAGACTTGCTACTTTCTATAAAAAGCCCAAAGATAAAAAGTATGTTGACAGAACGCTCAATCTCTGCTGTGTGTGCGTGTGTGACAGAGAGCATGCACGCATACTTTCGACCACTAGCGCTTTGTGGCGCACTTCCGTGTTTTTGCACCAGCGGGAAATTTGAAGATGCCATTTTCATTCTGAATCGGAGAGTGAAATAAACACATCCGCGGTCTGCTCCTTTTGTTTTATTCAGCGGATTTACAACATCTGTCAAAGGTAAGAGACTTTACTACTCGCAATGTGTTACTGTTGTGCAAAAGCATTGTTTTACTGTTGTGTATAAGTCAATGAACTTCAGTTTTTTTAAACCAAATTTACCCTCTCGTGATTTATTTCATATAATTATGAATGAACATGGCTGTAATTTATGTTTTTGCACTTGGTCGTTTGTGTCAATGCGCATATTATGTTTTATCTTTGTGTTTTGCCCATCCTCTGACAGTATTTTCTAACTATTTAATTAGTAGTAACATTAATTACATGCCATAATAACTAGATATATAATTTATTTTTAAAGCTATTAAAACTGTAAAAAAAAAAAAAGTTTTTTGTTATTTTCTGGTGACATTTTGCAATAAGGTTTCTTTAGTTAATCTATGTACTAACATGAACTAATAATGAACTATACTTATAAACCTCTATTAATTATAGTTTAACATTTACTATTGCATTATTACAATTTAAAGTTATGCTTGTTAACATTAATGTTAATGCACTGTGAGTTAACAAGAATTAACCAATAATTTTATTTCCATTAATTAAAGCATAAAATAATGAATACTGTAATGAACTGCACTGCATTGTTTGTTCACATTAGTACATACATAAACTTAATTAATTAATACAACCTTATTGTAAAGTGTTACATTTTTCATATTTTGGATTAATACTATTAATTTTATTTAGTATTTAAAACCTTAAAGGTATTTTTATTATTGTTGATGTTATGCCTCTTAGCAATATTTTAGTCCTCTATATGTTTTTTAATTAAATTTTTATTGTGAGATTGTAGTGTAATGCATCTATATTGTTGAATTTCTGTTTGTTTGTTTTTCTGTATTTCCCCCTCTATATTTAAGGATTATCTACTATTTTTAAAGTACTTAAAACCAACCATCTAATAAAAAATACAATTAACAATCACATTTTGTTTCATGAGTGTCTTTGTCCCTGTTTTGTAGGACTCTTATTTTAACAGATTTCATTTGGAAACACTTGACTAATCATTCAATTAAAGTTTTACCTTTATTATTCCATCACTCAATGAGATCATTTAATTGTGAGTTGAATTACTCCATTTGTAATTGTTTTTAAATAAACTAAAAACGAAGACTTGTTTTATTCAGTTTGTTGAATGTGAACTTCTCTACGTTACATATTAAAAGATATTTAAAACCACTATAAATGTATTTAAACTAATATTTAAATTTATATAACTGTTTCACTGTGGGTATTTCTATTTTAATTTATTTAGCACATTTATTGGCTATTCAAACATGGAAACAAGTTTTAGATACTTTGTGGCTCTAATAAATGGTTAAACATAACAATATCCCTGCAGAAAAATCCAGCTTAAACCAGCCCAGGCTGGTAAGCTGGTTTTAGCTGGTCAACCAGGCTGGTTTTAGAGGGGTTTTGGTCATTTCCAGGCTGGTTTCCAGCCATTT